GCGGGGGGAACAAGGACAGGAGCAGGAAGTTAAAAACATGATGGAGCCAGGAGCAACCAGGTCCCGGGCTTGCACGATATGGAAGTCAGATGCAGAGCCACGAGTAAGGTGCGCTCCTGGCTTATAAAGGCAAAACGAACCGGAGAGAAACAAGGAACAGGCGGCGGGAGTGATGCAAATGAGGAAGGGCTGGAGCGCCCTTAAGAGGCGGGGTTTGCGATCGTGACACCTACTAGTAGTTTCAAAACATTAGCAAACACAAGGCTATGTTCTAACCACACAAGGTATCACTCAGACTAGATGAAGACTGACTTCCTACCAATAGTGCTTAATACTCTAAGTCTGCCCCCAGTTCCTAATGATGGACAGGAAACCTCGATTTAACTGAGACAGACTCTGTAACCTTGATACAACATTGCGAAATAAACAGAAAAAGAACAAGATAGAGGATCCACAACAAGATCAATACAGTGCATAGATTTATGGTATATATTGTACAATATATACATCATACAAAACAACAGAGAAAATGACTTAATTCCAGGATGAGGCGAACAAGTGAAAAGGTTTATGATAGACCTCATCTATGGGTCTTCGTCACATGGAATCTGTTATTTGCAGGTCGTGTAGCATATTCTTTAAAATACTGTGTTATGTGTGGGTAGGTGAAGGAATTCTGCCAATTTTTAGAAATCTCAAAATGCTGTCCAAGGTTTTATATTCTGAGATTTATAGTGGGGAAAAAATATAAACAGCAGGGTCTCGATGTCCACAAGGCTTTGGCACAGAGATCTGTTGTGAATAGTCAAATTTGCATATAACCCAGCCCACTCCTATACCATTTCATAATGTACTGCAGTATACATAGTAATTAACATAAGTAACCCTGCCTTATATGATCATTAAAGTACAAAGCATTGGCTTTAAGTTTTTAAATAACACCAATCAACAAACATAAATAACTGTAATTACAAACATATAGTAGTCAGTTAAAAAAACAACATCCAGCCTGCACTTTCTCTCTCTACAAACATGAGAAAAACTATACTGAAT